GCATGAGAAATTCTTGAGATGGACGATGGGGGTAAGCTGGAATTGCCCGGGGTATATGGTGAGGGAAGAATTGGGTAGGGAGAAGATGGTCACGAAACAGAGAAGGAGAGCTAGGAATTATGAGGAAAAACTGGAGCAAGGAAGGGGAAGTAAAATAGCAGGGATGTGTTGGAGACTAATTAAGGAAGGAGAGGAAGGGTGTAAAAGGTGGGAAAAGGAAAGAAAGAAAGCATTAAGGGAAGGGGGAAAAAGTAGAGAAAAAGGGAAAGAAATAATAGAGATTTGGGGTAAATGTGATAGGGAGGAAAGATGGAAAAAGGTAATGGAGTCCAGGTACAACAGATGGTACAAAATGATAAAAGGAGAGGGATTGCCGAAATATTTGGGGAGAAAGATGAAGTATGAAAAGTGGAGTAGGGTGTGTAGGTTTAGAATGGGGGAAGGTATGAGAGAATGTAAGTACTGGATGGAAGAGGATGAAAGAAAATGCAGAATATGTGAGTATGAAAGAGAGGATTGGGAGCATGTTTTGGAAAGGTGTTGTAGTGGACGAATGGAGGAAGGGCAAAGCGTAACTGAAAGAGTGATGTGGATATTGGATGAGAATGGGCAGGGTGAAAGATGGATGAATGATTTAGAGGAAGTGAGAAGAAAAAGGAAAGAGGGATTAATTTAGTGTCGTGACGTAGGGAGGGATCATTAAGTCATATGACGATGCCAGAAAGGGCATAAGAGAACCGGAAACGGAAGCCCTGGCACTGGTTAAAGAAGCGCAATTAGTTTTTAGTTTGTTTTTAGATTGTAAGAGTAGGTAGTTTTAAGTTAGGTATTATAAGTTGCGGTAGATTTTAAGAAAAATGTATAATAGGTTAAGTTTTTATGTATGGTTGGAAATCTCGAACCCTGTATAATGCAGGGAGAGTAAATAAATATATATATATATATATATATATATATATATATAACTTTTTCAGGAAAAAACCTAAAAATTCAGTTAAAAGCCTTCACCTCCCCCTTCCGTTTTTTAATTTTGGAAGATTTTGACCTAAAGTGTTAAAACTTAAAGTAGTTCTTTTTGTTTTTTTCTGTTATTTTTTTGTTATTTTAGACTAGCTGTCGTACCCGTTTTCGACGGGTTTTAGTTTTTACTAATATATTTGAAGAGGTGTCTACCAATCGGGAATTTAATTTGACTGGGAAAAACTAATAATTAGTTACTATTAACTATTACATTAGGAAAATATCACTATTTGAATCAGTAAATGACTTTTTCTATCAAGTATTATTTTTAACTAATTCAGATTTATAGAATAGTATTTGTCAATTTGTAGTACTTTATGCGTTTCTAGTATTTCAATTAATCCATTAATAATAATTTTAGTTAATAAATATACTTTAAATAAACCCAAAAAACCCTATATTTCTTTAAGAATAAATCCCAAGTAAAATCTATTTTCATTTTCCAAGTAGGTATAATTTTTCCATATCCATATTCCATATCCAAAATTTCCGCATGGGATTTTACATTTTACCCGTTTTTGCGTAGTAATGCCCGGATAGAATTATAGAAAGCAACAACATACCCCAAACATTTCTAACATTTAAGAAGCAGAATTTTAATTCATAAATAGGAATTTGTTATCGTTTTTCAAAGTCATTTCTGAAATATTTCTAGAATTCAAAAGTAAGAAAATTTTGATTCTTAAATCCCAATTTGCTCTCATGGCGTTTTAACCCCTTCAGTGTGTAGCTAAAATATAACAAAATGGTCCCAAAATGTGTAAGACCTTCTTGTCAATAAATTTTCATGACACTAGGTACAAGGGGTTTTTGGGGTCGCTGATTACGATTCCGGTGTTATTATTCAAAAATTCAAAATGGCGGATCCAATATGTCGGACACAATTTTGAAAAATTCATTGGATTTGCTTAAAATTCGTTACTCGGGGGTTTTCGTGGTCAATGATTACGAATATGACATTAGTTTTTTAAAATTCAAAATGGAGGATCTAAAATGGCGGACACGATTTTAAAAAATTCATTAGATTCGCTTAAAATTCGTTACTCGGGGGTTTTCGTGGTCGCTGAATACAAATCTGACATTATTTTTTTTAAATTCAAAATGGCGGATACAAAATAGCGGTCACGATTTTGAAAAATTCATTGGATACGCTTAACATTCGTTATTCGGGGGTTTTTGGGGTCGCTGATTACGAATCTGTTATTAGCTTTTCAAAGTTTAAATGGTAAGAATTTTTAAAAGAATTTATCCACTTTTAAAATTTTTCAAAATTTTTGGAGGTTATTTTGTTCGAAAAATTATTTATTTTAAAAATATGACTTCAGAATCGTGATCAGCGACCCCAAAAACCCCTGAGTAAAAATTTTTGCAAATATACGTTAAGATGTTTTCTTGTTTGGGCCATGACGTGTATATGTCGTAGGCAGATAGCATAATCCGGCAGTAGGCAAACTGCCTACTATCCGCGAGAAAATGATAGGCCCCTAAAAAATGTTCAAATTTGACATGAAATATCTCTGTTAAAAAAATTATTTGAAAAAAATAAGAAATATTTTTGGAAAGCGTGGAATCTCATATTTTTGTATACGAAAGGATAATATTGAAAAAATAATTTTGTACCGTAAAGGTGCAAAATTACATCACAGTGTACCCCATTTTTCGCCAGTTTAAAAAATGATCGACTTTGGTACAAGATTTTAAACGGAAGCGAATATTCAAAAAATTCGAAAAAAGGACTACTTATTAACTTAATCTGTCTAAACGAATCTGCTTCATAATTATTAAAAAATCTTAATTATTATTGTATTTATTAACAATAATAGGAGACAATGTTATCTCTGGTTCTAATAGTCCAATTTAAATAAATCAAATTGGAAGTTGTAAATAAATAATTAATCTTTTTATTATCTTAGCTCATTAAAAAAAACGAAATTTTTCTATTAATTACATTTTTCAACATTTATTTGTACATTTTTTTCTTGAGGACAAGAGTAAAACGGTTGCAAAAACCCAATTTTTTTCGACAAAATCTTAACCCTGCACTCTAAATCTAAATCAGTGAAAATTTCACTGATTTCAATTTAGTGGCCCAGTTTTCTTTAATTCATCAGTGGGATTTCACTAAGAATCAGTAAAAACCACTGATTGTCAGTGAAATTCCACTGATTCATCAAAGAAAACTGGGTCACTAAATTGAAATCTGTGAAATTTTCACTGATTCAGATTTAGAGTGTCATAAATAATACTACGAACATCTCCAAAATGTGAACTCAGAATAAAGCTTAGAATTCTTTTCACATAGGCTCTACAGTACATGCCAGATTTTTATTTATGACAGGGTTAAGATTTTGTCCAAAAAAATTGGGTTTTCGCAACCGTTTTACACTTGTTCTCAAGAAAAAAAAACTGTCGAAATAAATGTTGAAAAATGTAATTAATAGAAGAATTTCGTTTTTCTTAATGAGCTAAGATAATAAAAAGATTAATTATTTACAACTTTCAATTTGATTTATTTCAATTAGACTATTAGAAGCAGAGATAACATTGTCTTCTATTATTGTTAATAAATACAATAATAATAAAGATTTTTTAATAATTATAAAGCAAATTCGTTTAGACAGATTCAGTTAATAAATAGTCCTTTTTCGAATTTTTTGAATAATCGCTTCCATGTAAAATCTTGTACCAAAGTCGACCATTTTTGAAAATGTCGAAAAATGGGGTACACTGTGATGTAATTTTGCACCTATACGGTGCAAAATTTTTTTTTCAATATTGGCCTTTCGTATACAAACATATGAGATTCCACGCTTTCCAAAAATATTTCTCATTTTTTTCAAATAATTTTTTTAACAGATATTTCAAGTCAAATTCGAACATTTTTCAGGGGCCTATCATTTTCTCGCGGATAGTAGGTAGTTGGCCAACCGCTGGCAGTTAGCAGAATGACTGTTTTAAAATGAATTCAATTAGTCATTTAGTCAACTGCCTAGGCAGTTTGCAAACTAACCAAGACGTTTCAGGCAATTAGAAATGAATAATAAAAATCTTATTTATCAGTCAAAATTAAAAAAAATGTTCTTGATTATACACGTAATGTAATTTACATTATTCCAAAATGGGAAAAAGAAGAAGACATATTGAAAAATCTAAATACTGTAATAAATGATATTAAAGGGAATATTGTAATTAATTTCTTATTTATTATTTGTTAGAACAGTTTGCTGTCTTATGACACCTAGATCCACACAATATTTTTGCTTTAAAGCAAGAGCATCGATTTATTTTGCATTGATTTTTTGCCAGTTTGCAGTTACATTTTTTCATACCTTGACCACCACTGACTGATTGCATAGACGCAGCTTCTCTTAAAGAAATAAAATTATCTTTAGGAACAGCGTTTACGCTTACCACTTCAGTTCCAGTTTTTTGTATGTCGGACCGAGGAAACCAACCATTGATTAGTCCATCTTGCGTTCCAATTTTGTAGACACCATTTTAAATGTCAGTCACTATCCCTAAAATACTGCTAAAATCTAATGGTCTTCGGTCAACATTTGGAACTGATAGTGAAATGCTGTCTCCAATAGTCAGTGGTTGAAAAGTTTGATCTGATATTGTGACCATTTTTGCAGCCTCTTCCTTTTGCCTCACAAAACAGTCGTTTTGAATTATTATTATTATTATTATTATTATTTTTTTTATTCACGGGGGAGAAGAGGAAATGCATTAACGCATGCCCAGGAAGATCCCACTTACCTGGGGTATGTCGGACTCGCACAAAATGCAAGGAAAAAGAAAAGAAACCTCACATACCTGCTTTTACGGCAGTCACAATACCGACTAAAACCTCTTCTTGATTCCCCTGGGTTTCTAACCTTCTATCCAAATACGGAACTACCTTTCGGCTTCAAAATTCGCAGATGGATGGTCCCATTAGTCGTTGGCACGACTCTTCCGTGCCGCTCTTCTTCTGGCCATTATTTTCTCCTTGTTATTGACAGGGTCTTCTTAGCTTCCTCTAAGGCAGTCCTGAAGACCTTGCACCGACCTGATCCAGCGACGTGTTGGATGTTCTCCTTTTCGCCGAACTTCGCCTTGCATAAGAAGCAGCATGGGCTCTTCTTACAATCTGCTACCTTATGGCCGGCTTCCCCGCAATTGAAGCACGCAGCCGACCTATCTACTGCTTGGCAGTCTCGACCTATATGGCCATAGCCAAGGCAACTGTGGCACCTTGTGACCATAACTCTTCTACTTATTCTGCAGGACACAAAACCGATTTTGATGTGCCCTATCTTCTCCAGCTTGTGAGCGTCCTCTTGGGAGGTGACCACGACAGCGAGCTTAATACCCCGCTTATTTGGTCCGAGGACCGTCACCTTCCTGCTTCCTGCTCGCACCGTAGATAGTTTGTCCAGGGCTTCTTTGACATCCTTCTGTTCGGTAAGGGTGTCCATGTCGCGGATCTCCAGCACAGTCTGCCGATCCGCCATCTGCACCTTACCCAGATCGCCGATCACCTTTGTCACCTCCTCGGTGAACAATTTCCTGTTCGAAGACCCCCCAATTTTAATAAGGAGGTCTCCCTTTTTAGTGGGTACAGCTCCCACAACCCTTGTCTGGCTGGCCTCCAAGTCAGCCTCTTTTCGAACCTTCGCCAGCACCTCGGCAAAGGTAGTTCCTTCAGCCACTTTGACGACCATTGTGGCTCTTCCCTTCTTATCTGAAGTTGTCTTTGGTGCCGTTTTCATCTCCTTGCCTTTGGATCTTTTAGGAGGTCCCTCCTCCCTCTTCCTTTTTAGATCCTTCGCAAGCTCAGGATCACTTCTCTTTCGCTTCTGAGCATCCAAGACGACGTTTCTCAACACGATCGCGTTACAGCGATCTCGTCTAACTCTACGATCCTGTCTGGCCTCTTCCGACCAAGTCAATCCCTAGTAAAGACTCTCATCCTTTTTCGTAGCTGCTACGTGCTTCTCCTTGATCTCCTGTATGAGCGATTTCATGCTTTTGAGTCCGTCCTTGATTGTCATATTGACATTCTTCTGGACCTCGCAGGACTTCATCATCTTGTTAACCTCTTCCTCCATTGCTAGAATGCATGTTGCCTCTTCCTCCCGCAGCTTAATGCATTCATCTCGATCTTGGTTGCAGCTTGCAATGTCCTTTGCCGAGGCATTACTAAAGACAGAAATGCAGGAGGAAACAAAGAATTTATTATCTTTATGACCCAATCGGGATTGTCCAGGCCGGGGGTCTTTTGCCTCGTCGCTAATTTCTTAGTAACGATTTTAAAAGCCAGACCCCATAGGTCCTTATCGACTTCCTCGATTAGGTCCTTCCAGCTACGGAGTCGCGACTTGCGGATCTCTTTCTTGAGGTTCTTTTTCGCCTCTTTGAAAGCCTCTTTCAGCAAGAGATCTCCCTTAGATCGGGTGTATGTCCTTCTTGCTTTGAGGCATTCCTTTCTCAAGGATGCCAGCTTCTCTGACCACCAGTGCAAGGATTTTCTTACGGGAGTGGCGCCTTTGCGTGGCATTGACGCATTGAAAGCGGTGACTATCATGTTCCTCACCGCTCGCACCTCCCCATCCAGACTGCTCGGCCTCTTCACCCAGCCAAAGTCCTCAATTAAAAGGGCTTCTTTTAGGGACCGGCCGAACTTTCCTTTGTCGAGTCTCTTCATATTCCACGAGGAGGTTTTGCGACTAGGAACATCCTGTCTTTTTCCTCCTCGTGTGTCTCCCATCGAGACTGAGAACTCAATGTACTGGTGGTCACTTGCGGTATATTCCTCAGATACTTGCCAGTCGCTTATGCGGCTAAATAGTTTAGACGATGCGATCGTTAGATCTATAATTGATCCGATCGCACCTCGTCTAAAAGTCCATGTATTGCCTCGGTTTACAGCCAATAAGTCGTTTCTGGAGATCATTTCTTCAATACGAATTCCTCTCTTGTCGAGTCTCGTCTCACCCTACGACTTTGCGTTAAAATCGCCAGTGATGATGATATCCAGCCTGGATACTGTGAGGCTCGCTTCTAGGTCTTCGATATTGGCTTCGAAGTTTGTCAGTGGGTCGTTGGGTGAGAAGTAGCAGCTATACATACGTATATTAGCTACCTCTATCCACACGAACCCATTGCTCGTCTCCAGAAACTTGTCAACCCGCAATTCTGGGTTGCACAGCTTTATGGCGGCTCTCTTCGCCTTATCCTGATATTAAGGGGCGAGGTCGCTTCCTTAATACTGCTTACTGCAGAACAGGATATCGACCTCATTTTCCCTTGCTGTTTGCATTAGGAGCAACTGTGCATCCTTACTTGTATGCAGGTTGACCTGCAAAAATTTTAAGGATTTGCCCTTTTAATCTTTTGCAGTTCTTCCCTGTAAACCGGGCAGGCTCTCTTTCCGGACTCATGATCCGTTTCCGGCTTCCCCAGGTCCAAACAAGTAAGGCACTTCGGCTTAACGTTACAGCTCTTCGCGAGGTGTCCCTCTCCGCCGCATCTCTGACAGTTTTTACTTCTGTCGGGGCCTTTGCAAGATAGGGTTCTGTGTCCGTAACCTAGGCACTTTTGGCACCTAGCAACTTCAACATGCTCGCGAATTTGAGCATTTATCCAGCCGATTTTGATTCGGCCAAGTTTAAGCAGAATGTCACTTTCTGTTTCTGCTAAGCGGATTAGAGCAACCTTAGTTCCTCTGTAGCGTGGCAATAATTTGCACTCCATAGTCAGGTCGGATTTGCCCAGCTTTTCTTTCAATGCTAAAGTCACCTCACTCTCTGTAGTGGCTTCATTCAGGTCTTTGATTTCTAGAGACCTCTTATTTACTAGAGGTATGACCTCAGCCACGCCATGCAGGGCCGAGGACAGACTGTCCGCAAATATTAAAGTCTCTCCACCTTTTTCACTATCAGGAGAACCTCCTGTTTAAAAGTTCTCCTGATTTTCTGGATCACGGTACCTGTATCTTCAGGTTTAACCTTTGATTTTATCAGCGGCAAGATACCCTCATAACTTGTCAACCCGCAATTCTGGGTTGCACATCTTTATGGCGGCTCTCTTCGCCTTATGATGATACCAAGGGGCGAGGTCGCTTCCTTGATACTGCTCACTGCAGAACAGGATATCGACCTCATTATCCCTTGCTGTTTGCATTAGGAGCAACTGTGCATCCTTACTTGTATGCAGGTTGACCTGCAAAAATTTTAAGGATTTGCCTTTTTAATCTTTTGCAGTTCTTCCATGTAAACCGGGCAGGCTCTCTTTCCGGACTCATGATATGTTTATTATTATTATTATTTTTTTTTTTTTTTTGTTGAGGGAATTTTGGGAAATCTGCCTACAGATACCTTGGATTCCGCACTCCAAGGTTATGTGGGGTTGGTATGATAAAACAAAAGAAAATATAAAAAAAGAAAAATAAATATATAAAATAGTAAATTTAATAAACTGGCGACCTACTGCCAGCCCGACCCACTAAAACCCGTAACCCTTCTTCTGGAGCCCTTTACCCTCCCTCGGAACTGTCGTAAGACTTTAGCCTTCGAGGGTGGCGCTCCAACTTTGTCACCAATGCGACCTTCTTCTTCTTTCTGCGGTTTTCCTGCGTCCGTAGTTAAAAAAAGATTAAAACTATTTCATGGTCTAAGCGGAATTTACAGCACAACGATAAAAAAAAACAATTAAAAAGCTGTTTAAATTACGATTTTTGGCGGCCGTCGAGATCCTTCCTTGACATAACCGAGATTATGAAGTTCTCGACTTGCCGCCAATTCTCCTCTGACTGGGTCATCAGCGATACCATGTTCTCCGGTGTAACTTGACTGTTTACACCTTCGAACATGGCCTGTCTCTCAAAGTCCCATTCCTTGCATTTGAAGAAGGTGTGCTCCGCGTTGTCCTCAGGGAACTGGCAATATGCACACACCTCGTCCTCGCGTAATTTAAAGCGACACAGGTACGAGTTAAAACACCCGTGACCCGTGAGCGCCTGTGTCAAATAATAGGAGACTTCTCCATGATTTCGGTTTATCCAGGTGGTGAGTGTTGGAATCAGACGATAGGTCCATCTGCCTTTTTCCTCCCTATCCCATCTGTCCTGCAATGTCTCGATAAGTTTGTTTCTCGCATATTTGCGGATGCGGTCCTTGCTAGGTCTTTCTTCCTCTGGGTACTCGGGATTATTTCTTCTTTTAAAAAGAAGAAATACTTCCTCCCTTTCCCTTGCCATAAGATCTGCCGGCGGGACACTTGCAAGGACTTGCACAGCACTCGTCGAGACCGTCTTATACGCAGAGACGATACGGGTAGTAACAAATCTCTGCACAGACAGCATATTATCGCAAATGGTTTTGCTTCTTGTTTTAAGTGAGGGAGCCCACGCTGCTGCTGCGTAAAACAGCTTAGCGTGGGCAACACTAACCACCAGTCTCCTTTTCCTTTCACGTGGTCCGCGAACGTTTGGCATAAGTCGTGCCAAGTCTGACGCACACTTTATCGCCTTATTCAAGGCCGTCGCTATATGGTAATGGAAGTTTAACCTTCCATCGAGCTCCACTTCTAAATACTTAATATGTTTACTCCACTTGACCTCGAATTCGTCTATCACGATTCGTTGGAAACTATAACCACGTCTTTCTGTGACGAGCAGAGCTTCGGTTTTTTCCAAGGCCATTTGAAGACCTCTAGCATCCAACCAGCTTTGACTCGCCGCAGACATTCGTTCACCAATGTCCCAAAGGCTTCCTCGCTTTCGGCTGAGCACACGACCAACGCATCGTCCGCAAAACCGATGATCACCGCACCTTCGGGTAGATCCATTCGCAGAAAATCATCGTAAGAGAGTAAGAGAGTGCAGGTGTCTTCCTCATATATAACCCACCTGTCGCTAAGATAATTATCCATTATCCGCAACAAGTAGGGCGGCATGTTTTTCTTTTCCATCGACTCGATGAGATCTTTCCATCTTGCGGAATGAAACGCGTTGCGTATGTCAATTGCTACCAACGCGCAGAAGCTCTTCTTTTTTCCGGGTCCCAACTTGTTTTTTCCTACTTTGGCTATGTCCACAATTGCCTGGATGGCATCAACTGTGGACTTGCCTTTACGGAAACCAAATTGGTGATCCGATAGACTATTCTCTCCGGTCAAGTGGCTTTGCATTCTCTGCAGAACCATATCCTCTAGAAGTTTACCCATCGTATCTAGCAGACATATAGGCCTGTATGATGAGACTTTATCTAGAGGTTTTTCACCTTTCCTCAGGAGGACTAACCTCTGTCGCTTTCAGTCGCGGAAGAACTCTCCTTTCTCAAGGCAGAGATTGACACATCGGAGCAGAATCTGGGGTGAAGTGTCGATTACCAACTTTAGGATCTCGTTACTTATCCCATCGATTCCAGGCGCCTTGCCTGTTTTCAATCTTTTGCCTGCTTTTTGCAGTTCAGTAAGTGTGAAGAGTTCTTCCTCTTCGACTTTGCAAAAACTCCATTCCCTTCTAAGGTATGGCTCTGCAGGAGGAAACAAAGAACTTATTATCTTTCTGACCCAATCGGGATTGTCCAGGCCGGGGGTCTTTTGCCTCGTCGCTAATTTCTTAGTAACGATTTTAAAAGCCAGACCCCATGGGTCCTTATCGACTTTCTCGATTAGGTCCTTCCAGCTACGGCGTCGCGACTTGCGGATCTCTTTCTTGAGGTTCTTTTTCGCCTCCTTGAAAGCCTCTTTCAGCAAGGGATCTCCC